GTGCATATTTCTGCCTGTCGCGGAACGGTTAAGCTAACCCGCTAGAATATCGATAGTCAGTCAGTTTGAATTACGCGCCACTAAGGCGAACCTTCGTTAAGTATGTATTTGGTATTCGAACTATGTTTGTAACTGGCCACACTGTTTATTGTTATTATTGTTTATTGTTATTGTTATCTTATTGTTAAATAAAAGCTTGTCCACAGAGCCTTGTCCTGCGGTCACTAATAGTTTGTCCAGCTTTGCTGAACACTCTTTCCGCTTCGCATGGCGAGGCTTGTAAGACAAGTATTTGGCTGCTACCAATTTTAAAGAGCACTCATCAGTACTTATCTATAAAAATTGTTATTTAGCATTTTTCGCATAACAATTTTAAAGTCTTTCCTCCCAATATTTTAGAGGGTCTTCATTTTCTCCAAGGTTTTCTTTTTAGGAGTTGTGTGAAAAAACTTTGATGGTGGTGACCCAGCCATCGATGGTTCCGATGATTTGCAAACATCGATAACATCGATGTTTCACTCGATGTTTCTGCACCTCTATCGGCGATCCCAGTAGGGAAGGGAGGATATACTGCGGTATGTAAAAAGTTATAGGTTGAGATTGAATCTAAGTTTGTACTCCTCAACAGAATAAAACACTTTTGAGTAAGCTCATTACCACACTTCAAGTCCAAGTGTTGGATACGCTACAAGATCTGCTATTTCTTGTTTCGGTGGAGCCCAAGTGTTAAATAGGAACTCCCGGGATTTGGATCGGCGTCACTGCCCATTTCATTAAAATTTCTGGGTTTTTCCCTGAAAATTTAAACAATTTAAGTGCGAGGAAATCGCACCTAGATTTTTGGCAGTGGGGCTGGCTGCACTTGTTTCCACTGATTTGTGCTCTTATTTTATCTGCCATTGCCATAAGGGCTTTCAAATGGCCTAATTAACAACAACTAAACAACAAATAATGCTAAAACTCGAACCTGTGTCAATAGCAAGCAGCAGCACGTAAAACTGGCACGCAAAGTTCCGAAACAACGAAAAAAGTTGTAATTTGCTATTTATACCACATTTGCACAATTTTTACTCTCACATATTATAGTTCATGTCACAGATGTAACGGGTTAAATTTAATTTGAAAGGAAAGCGTTTGAGTAATTAATAATCTTATTAATCGGCACTCTATGCTGTTGTAGTCTTTTAGCGAACGCAAGAAGAGAAACAAACGGAGAAAACAATGAATTGGCGCGCTTTTCTTAGACCGCTCTTTCACACAAGCGCGGAAATCAAAACATATTTGAATTACAGAAAATCATGTAACTAACATGACTATAACTATAACATGACTAACATAACTATAACTATAACCGCTGGCTTTTGAACGAAATGTGAGAGAGCCTGAAGCCAGTTCAAAAGCCCGCACGAAAAAATCGTGAGCAAAAAAATCGTATGGCGTTACGAATCTTCCACACTGTATAATCTTTGTTAAAACTATATGGCGTCAGCGTCAAAAAGTTTATTCATTGCCACGGTATGGGGACGATAAAAGAACGTTTTAAAGCAATGGGTGAGAGCGAGATACACACACGTACTTTTAGTATTTTTTTAACGACTTGCAAAAAGAATACAAATTTTAATAAAACTGGCTGTTCACGACCATTTACCTCTCGCTCTCACTTGCAGCTCCTTGACATATTATCAATTGTAGATCCCGCAATGAATAAAGATGTGCGGAAAAGATGAATTCAGAAGTTAAGAAGGGCTGATACAGTTAATATTGCAAGACGCTGGAAAAATACTAAAGTAAGTCGTCAGAAATCGTTCAACCCCATCCAACTATCTAGTATTTTTAATTTCGTGTATCTGTACTGGCCTTTAAAACGGCGCTGACAAACCGCAGTTTTCAACTATTTTCCTCTCGATCTCTCTCGCTGCTTGAAAACGGTGTTTTACCCTCTTCATAACTGGCTTTTAATAAAACAGGCTGTTTGCCACTATTTGCCTTTCACTCACTTGCAGCTCCTTAATATATTTTAAATGATGGATTCCCCATATGTGAAAAAGACGAATTCAGAAGTTCAGAAGGCCTGATACCTTGAAGAGAAAATTAAATAGGAAAGCCGTGGGCCGGAAGGGACAAAATGAGAAAGCTCCTGAGTTGGCCTTCTCGATCTCGATGCACATAGGTATGGCCACTGGTGCTACAATTTTCTTGCCTATCAGAACCCGTATCAAATTATCAAGCTACCATTACAGGTACTTTTGCTTACTGTCAGACGAGAATACATGCCAATCGCTTTGAGACAAACAAAATATTCCAAAAGTAATAACAATTATAACACGAAAAGTGCTCCGATTTGCTCAAAAAAATGTTCCCAAAAACGGATACGTCATGCAATAGCTATGTATATTTATATATTTATTACATATGTATATTTATATACATAGCTTAAAACCAAATTTTGGTTTTTGGTTTCCGATAATAAATGTGCTGGGCAGCATGTACACCATACGAAATGAATTGCCTTATTTGATTGATTGGCTTTATCTCCGCTATTTGTAAATATATATATATACTAAGTATTTTTAGTTCAACATACTTTGATTTTCCAATGAATAAAAAGTTGTATTTTTAATATCTTTGTCAAAAACAACTTTTTAAAAACCCTCCAATTTTCAGGCGTTCAGGGTGGTCTAACCCCTTAACTAAACCAAAAACGTTTTATTTTATTTCAGAAAGCTTTTCTATGTTCATCTTTGTTAGGTTATTACATCTACTTACTCAAATTAAAAAAAAAAAAAAATTAATACGAAGATGGATGGATCGACTCGGCTATTTATTCTGACCAAGAATATAAATTATTTATATGGTCGGAATTGGCACTTTTAGTGCGTTTCAAGTTCCCTACAAAAATGATAATACTCTTACTACTACAAGCATTAAATGCTTAACGTGTGTTGAGTTTTAAATATATTCGGTTGTATGTATGACCGAAGGGTTTGCACTACAAAAATGCCACACAACCAGATTTAAGAGCCTTCGCTCGCTTGAATGTTAAACAGTAACAGTGTGATGTAAATTCTGGTGTTGAGCATCAAAATGTTATGCAAAGCGCAGGCCTCCCAATGCTTTCAATTATTTACGTGGCAGAGAAACTTATCAGTGTTTTCTCTTTCGTAACCCTTATCGAGCTTTTTCTCTTTGGCACAAAAACTTTTGTGAGAGATGGACAAAACGGAATCCAACCCAGTGAAAGAATTGTTGTTGTTGTATGCGGCTGCTGATGCTGCCTGCCTTTTGTTGTTTTTTACTTGGCCATCGCTGCTACTACGCTGGCTGCGTGCTGCTTGGTGTTGTTGTTGTGCTGCTGCGTCGTGCAAGAACTGATTTCGCGTTGTGCTATCATGTCGTGGTTTAAATCAGTCAACTTGCTGGTAATTCAAAGAAAAGACGTATACGCGTTTCGACAAAAACTAACGAAATAAATACACAAATGTAAGATTTTAAGAACAATATAAATAAAAAACGGTTAAAACGGTATGTGAAAGTACAAAATGAAATCAAAGTTTATTTCAGGAAAACCTGATGAAAGTAACGAAAGTAAAGTTTGTTTAAATGTTGTAAGACTCTTTTGGTAGGTCAACGTAAATAATAATGCAGTCTTATATGGTTCGGAAAATACTTTTTAAGTCTTTATACATGTACATATAACTAAAACCATATTAATATACATATCCTGCATCTGTGTACGCCTTTTTTCTTTCTTTTGGGCTTTTGGCCTATGGCTATGGCTAACACTTCCCATTTCTTTTCCACACAGCTCCCATCGCCATCATCAATTGTACCATTCTTGTTGGTACTTCTTGCTTAAGTTCTTGTGGAAGCCTAAAAGCTTTTTCTGGGTCGTCTTTACACATACAACCAACAGGATTTTTTTTAAGGAAGGTCGTCCACCCTCACCATAAGGGGGTGGAAAACCCCAGTGGAACTCATACCAGCTTTTAAGCTTAGACACAAACCAAACGAAGTTAAAGAAGTTAAGGGCAACTGTTTAAAAATAATGTTTTAAAAATAATTTTGAAGTTATTTATAAATACATGGTTAGATCGACTCGGGTGTTGATACTGATGCTGTATATACCATATATGGTCAGAAATGACTCCTTCACTGCAGTGCAAACTTCTGACTTAAATTAGAATACCCTGCAAGAGTATACAAATTATAATTTCTTCTTTTCAATGAATTTCCAGTTACTCTGAAATATGGTAATCTTGGTGATCGTTAGTGTGTAGAAAAATATAAAACTGTAAATAAACTGTAATTACAAATTGTATAGGTATATTTCATTGCCGTTAGCAGCTGATTATTTTTAAAATATACACATAATCCCTGAGATATCTATAGGTAGCTATTTTAGACGATTCTAAAAAAAAAAATATATATATATGATTTAAATTTGTTTCAAATCAATTTATAATTACATTAGCTGTAATAAGAGTCACATCCTTATTCGGCATCTTCAGTGGACTTGTTTAGCCATGTCCGTTTGTCTTTTTTTCCGTTACTAAGCAAATTAGTCCCTTACTAGAAATGTAGATACGTCTTGTAAGTTTATAGGAAAATGAAAAATGTATTTATTTTGTATGAATTGAAAAACATGTTTTACACTTCGTCAAAGTTCAATATTATATGCTTATATTTAAACCTAAAAAGATAAATTAATTATGTCTTACCTGTTAAGATTGTATTTGTTTTTAAAAGACATTTCTTGATTAAGGATTTAATTACCCAATTGCAAAAATTAAGGAAATTAAAACTTGTGCTTCCCGATATTACCTTCCTTTCTTGTACAGATTTGCTGATATTTTTATATACTTGTCTAAATATATTCAAATTGAAAAGTATTTAATTTAAACTTTCATATTTTATACTTACAGCAATTCTTTTTAGTGTTTAAAAAGAATTAACCGATGAATCCATTTAAAATGTATTATTAATGATTAAACTACAGTCTATCACTATATGTTAAAATGCAACTGTCAAAAGAAATACAAATAATGCTGATGGTCTTGGCGGCTTTAACGTTCAGCATATCAGTGTCGAAGCAAAAAGGACTAAGTAGCAACGGCCAGGACACAGTCTCCGTGTCCCTGCCTGGCGATATAGTTCTTGGCGGCCTCTTTCCTGTTCATGAAAAGGGCGATGGAGCCCCATGTGGACCAAAAGTATACAATCGTGGAGTTCAACGTTTAGAAGCGATGCTTTATGCAATTGATCGAGTCAACAATGACTCCAACATACTTCCTGGAATCACGATAGGTGTTCATATATTAGATACATGCTCGAGAGATACATATGCCCTCAATCAGTCGCTTCAATTTGTACGGGCTTCGCTTAACAACTTGGACACTTCTGTGTTTGAGTGTTCAGATACATCAACTCCGCAGCTGAGGAAAAATGCTTCGTCGGGTCCAGTTTTTGGAGTAATTGGTGGATCGTATAGTTCGGTATCCTTACAAGTGGCCAACTTGCTACGCTTATTTCATATTCCGCAAATATCTCCGGCATCTACTGCTAAAACCTTATCTGATAAATCACGTTTTGATCTGTTTGCCAGAACAGTGCCTCCAGACACATTTCAATCGGTAGCTTTAGTTGATATAATCAAAAATTTCAACTGGTCTTATGTTTCTACGATACATTCAGAGGGGTCTTATGGTAAGTTAACAGTTTGTTTCGTTTTACAAGCACTATACAAACTTTGTCTTTTCAAAATTGGTTCTTGATTGCGTTCTCTTAGTTAAAGGTCTCATGCCATGAGACGGTCTGTTTTTTATGGATTTATTAGAATTTTTCTATCTATATCTAGATCTAGATCTTTAAGTTAATTATCACTTATTAACATATATTTCGAGAGTATAAATATATATTTTAAGCATAAAATATTGGGTAGAGCTTGAGTTATGGCGTTGTCAACACCCCTGCACAGTGGTCGATTTAGCCAATCTGGCATACAAAATTAAATAACAAAATTTCTTTTAATTTTAAGCTCTGTAATTTTAAGTTTCTTTGTTGCTAATTTCGGGGATGCTTTCCAAAATCTGAATCACCTCATAATATACTTTATTGATAACGCGGAAGTTAGTAAAAGTTAATGCATAAGGTTCCATCGTATTTTTTTTGGGACGATTTTATACCCTTGCAGGGTATTATAATTTCCGTCAGAAGTTTGCAACACAGTGAATGAGGCACCTTCGGCCATATAGAGTATATATATTCTTGTTCAGTATCAACACACGAGTCGATCTAGCCATGTCCGTGTGTCTGTCTGTCAGTCTGTCCGATTCTACGCAAACTAGTCTCTCAGTTTTGAAGCTATCTGAATGAAACTTTGTAGTTAGTCTTCTATATACTCTCACTCGTATATATGTCGGAACGGGCCGGATCGGACGACTATATCATATAGCTCTATTTGCAAGGGTATATCAACTTCGGAGTGCCGAAGTCAGTTTCCTTTCTTGTTCTTGTATGATTCAAGCAATAGTTTCGCATATATGTATTAACTTCCCACTTTAAGAGCTTCCTCGGACATTTAAAGGAAAACTTTCCCTATTTTGTCTGTTTTGTTTTATGAATCAATATTTTGTGAATTGAAGAAGTCAAATAAAACCTTCACAAATATAAAAGCTGCTTCCCATGTGAAAAGTGAATTTTTGAATATTGAGTTAAGATGTGGCCCGTCTATTAATCGATAAAACAAAAGCGATTATTTGATTTGTTTTGCTCCATCAGTTAGCGAAGAAAGAAGCGCGCAAAGAGAGAGCACAAACGAAGCGAACTACTGTACGTGTGCGCATCACTATTGAAATTGTGCAGTATTTTGTTCATTAACATTATAAAAGTTAATTTTAAAAGACTTAATTAAAATAAATTTTTAAGTTAAAGGTATATACATTGTGTTTGTATCATATTTATTAATTTTGCATGCTATATGTGACTATAACATGGTTGTCCTTGTCTTTCTTGTATTCGTGAGTATTATTAACTTTATATAATTCATTATTATTTGGTAATATTCTTTGTTCATTATTTAATTAATATTAAGTATTTCATAAATACAATCGTTGAAAAAAAGCTGATTAAATGTGTTGCGTGCATTTGGGAGTCAAATTTTATAGCTTTCACTGTTGATTCGATATTGAAGGATATATATTTTAATATATAATATTTTTACGCAATTATATATCTACAAAAAAACTTTCAAGTCGGTATCTCTACTAAAAGTATTTTGGCCACCATATCCACACATCACCGACCACTGTGCCACGTGCCATTTTATTAAGGTCAATGATTACACCTGTGACTTAATTACTTTTATGGGATTTTCTGAGTCTAGGTTTATTAACATCTGAGATGCAATTTTTTGCCAGCATTAAATAAACGCACGCGAACAGCCATTACCAATTCTTTGCATGAGGTTTCCTTAACAATGTAAGAAATTCTTTACTATGGGCCTTGTCATTAGGTCATTTATTCTAACCTTTTCTTGCACTCTAGAAACCGATCCATGAGAACAATATTATTCGCTTTTAAATTTCCCTTCATATTGTCTTTAAAATATATATAATTTTTTATTTTGCTCGCTTAATTACACGTGTTTAGTTTTTGATCCGGCAAAACTATACCTTTTTCACTATCAACATGTATCTTCTGTTAGTACCCGCCCAAGCGAAAACGAAAAATGTTTCTTATTTTCGTTACCTCCTACATATAAAATTTTCCCGCTTGAAGAATATTTATCTTATGGTTGTAACAAGCTATAAGCCTACATGAACTATTATTAAATGCTTATACCATTTTTTCCATAAAAATGCCATGCATTTTATTGAGGTCAATATTTACACCTGTGATTGTAACTGCAAATTGTGAGCTCCTAATACCTTTTATGAGACTTTCTGAGTCTAGGTTTATTACCATTTAAGATGCAGTTTTTTGCCAACATTAATTAAACGCACGCGAATGTTAGAATCTCTTTGAACTTTGCGATGAGGTTTGCATTTAGAGAAAGCTATTGCTGAGAACTCAGAGCTATTAGCGGCTATTTCTGTTAGCACAATAGACTCATTAAGCAAATTTTCGTCTTGTTTTTTAAAATATATGTGGTATCTACGGCATTTCTTCCACTTTTCCTTTATTTCGCAAATAGATAGATATGCTGAATGAAATACGAAATAAATTAAACATGTTCCAAGAATTAACAGAGACAAATAGAACACACGGCTATAACGGTACTTTTCCAGCTTGTAACGCAATAAGTATTATTAATACGCTTTTATTAGTTCCGGATGTATGTATGTATGTATGTAACGGAATCTTCCCTGCAGTACCTGTCATCAGTAATTCATCAACAGTCAAGGGATGCTGTTGATTTTTCATCGATGACAGGCCATACAAACTGTTGATTTACTTAACATGGGCATGTCCTAGGCTGTTATCAATAAAAATTCATCGATGTTTCATGAACAATTCATCGATGTTTCATCAACAATTCATCGATGTTTCATCAACAATTCATCGATGTTTTAACAACAAATTTCTCAACGGCCGGGCCCTGGTACTGCCGCCGACTGCAGTCTAGACTACCGCCGTAACTGTATCGTGGGCAGAGGGTCTTAGTAGAAGTCGCAGTCGGCAGAGCGTCGCCTCGGTAGAAGTCGCAGTCGGCGCATGTCGATGACATGTTGATGACACGCGGTACTGCAGGTTTTGAACACTATTTTCAAGGGTTTCCCAATATCTGATAAGCTTGATACTTCTCAAGGACCCGATGAGAATGCAATAATTTGATAAACAATTTTCATTATCCTGATTAGGATCGTCAGGATTGATAAATTCTGTTATAGATCCTCCGTAGAGGAGTAAGAGGGACAGAGCTAGCGCGCGATCTGCGCATGCCTGCTGGACAAGCAGAACTTGATTGCTCAAAGTTAACAAGAAAAATCCCATGCAACAATGAGGCCTTAAATGAAATAATGAGATTCCAAAATAGTTCGTAAGATATTTCATAATTAAATGACCGCAAAAATTGATTATTGATATATCGAACTAAAATACGAAAAATAAATGATAGCTTAGAAATTTAAAAAACACGCTTTTCTAGGTACCCACACTAAAAAATAGAAAATAAATAATAGTTTAAAAAACACGCTTTATAAAGACCCAACTAAAAAGAAGAAAATAATTTATAATTACAAACAAAATTATTAAATTCAGAGCAATAGTATATAATTCTAAACAAGATCACTAAATTCAGAGTTAAAAGCGTGGGGTGCATTTATAATCAATGTTACAATTATTCTAAGGGCAACTATCTGTAAGGGGAGAATTATGAAAATACAATGCCTCGCCAAGAACATGTTCAACTATTGTTACAAACAATGATAAATGTATTTCTGTGAACATAAAATATAAAAGAAAATCTTTGATATTTATAAAAATTATTAGATTAACAAAAATATTGCAGCAGTAGAATATCTCGTCACGTATGTATTTAAACGTTGTGCTTAGTGACACCATTATGTATATCAGTCAAATGACAAATTAACAGCAATAGTCGAACTAAATACATGTTAAAACAATGATTGATATAATTAATCCAAAAAAAAACGGTACTTGGCGCGAGATATTACCGTGACTTCAGATGCACCCCACGCTTTTAACTTTAAGCATTTTATTTATAAAAGCATTTTTTGTAGTATTTTAAACTATTATTTATTATATTTTGTCTTTGAGGACAGCAGAGCGTCAAAACATGATTTGCACATGTTGTGCAAATAACCCACCCAAATTGGAAGTTTTTCATTACCTTTCGGCTATGGGCTTCCAAAAACTTTTATTTCTAAAATTTTCGAACATTCAGTTTGCATTACAACAGTCTCAATTTTGAGCCAAACTATAGGCCGATTCGTGGGTCGCACCTAAAAAAAAGCAAAACAAAACCAATGTAATCCACAGAACTGACAGAACTGTAAAGAAGTACATACAAGAATTGGGAGTTATTAAGTCTTCCAAAAAATAACACTTTATCTTCTCAGATGCCCAGAGAGAGACTATTAAACTTCGATTCCAAAATATAATTATATGCTCCCTTATACTAATCCTCCAGAAAATGTCACTAAAATTACAAAAACAAAGTTTCCTTAAAAGGTTTTATTGTGGCAAAAAGCGAATAAGGCAGGAAGGCTCATTATGACAAAACAACACTAGAGGCCCTTGACCATTTGAGCATTGAGTTTGTGCCTGAGTTCAAAAATTCTCCAAATGTGTTTCAGTTAAGGGCAATTGAAAAGTTTTCGGCAAATTTGAAAATTTGAAAAAAAGAATTATAAGCTGAAAAACATAAACTGTTTTATATTAAAAATAAAAAAGGGCTTGCTAAAATTAATCCAATGGGAATTCAGGAGGCTTTGCAAAGGTGCATCAAAATCTAATAATAATAATATTTTTGTTGAATAGCTTAAAGCCTAATACAAAACATATAAAAAGTGTGCGTTGATCCGACTTGGAATAAATTTGTTATTTGGTTTACAACACGTGTTCGTATTTCATTCCGCATACCTTTATGACAAAAAATTGTAAAACTACATCTTTTACAAATCAAAAGAAAACACCTAAAAATTGCGCGAAAATGTATTTATGTGTAGACAGAATAGTTTAGTGAGCTTCACTAACTCACGACTGTGTGACTATCGATATGAAACATATAAGAGTATCGAAAAAGATATTTGCTGGGTGTTAGTTTTTTAAATAATTAAACTTTAAATTTAAACTTTTAATTTTACATTTATTGACTGCCAGGTTGGCTCAATCGACTATGCCCTCCCTCAAAATAATGATAACGCCGCCCAAAAATATAATATTTTGTAATTAAATGCCTTTATTAATTCCAACCTTTTCTTGCACTCTAGAAACCGATCCATGAGAGCAAAATATATACAATTTGTTATTTTGCTCGCTTAATCACAGGTGTTTAGTTTTTTGATTCGGCTAAACTTTACCTTTTTCGCTATTAACATTTAACTTATGTTAGTTCCCGCCCAAGCGAAAAAGAAAAAAATTGTCTTATTTTCGTTACCTTCTATATATGTTAAGTTTTCTCGCTTGAAGAATATGTACTTATATATACCCCTAAAAGTATACAATTTTTTCCCATAAAAATCATAAAAATACAAATTTTGAAATTTTTTATTGATAATAGTTCATTTCAGTCTCTTACGTGTTACATCTCAAGCCGTTTTGAGATAACATAGAGCAAAGTTTGAAAATCTCACTTTTGAGAAGAACGCCAAATATAGCGGTATTACTTTGTGACGACATCGAATTTCAAAAATCCTTATTATCACATATTCTACATAATTTATAGATAATACTTACGGAAAATTTTGTTTCTTTTTTTTACCTCCTCACGATTTGATGCCCTTTAGCTTTTTATTGATAACAACCTAATAGAAAAAGTATAAAGGGTCTTAAACTTTGTACGTTTTCAGGTGAATATGGTATCGAAGCCTTTCACAAAGAAGCCAACGAACGTCACGTATGCATTGCTGCCGCTGAAAAAGTGCCAAGTGCTGCGGACGATAAGGTTTTCGATTCGATTCTAAGTAAACTTCAAAAAAGCCAAATGCTCGCGGCGTTGTGCTATTTACAAGAGCAGAAGATGCACGGCGAATTTTACTTGCGGCTAAGCGTGCTAATTTATCGCAACCCTTTCACTGGATCGCCAGCGACGGTTGGGGAAAGCAACAGAAATTATTGGAAGGATTGGAGGATATTGCTGAGGGCGCAATCACGGTAGAGCTGCAATCTGAAATAATTGAAGATTTTGATCGTTATATGATGCAACTAACGCCGGGGACGAATCAACGAAATCCCTGGTTTGCTGAGTATTGGGAGGATACTTTTAATTGTGTCTTGGAGCCTGAATCAGTATCGAATCTTAACATTTCTTCTGGCAGCAAGTCTACAGCTAAATCAAAAGCCATATGCGATAGTACTTTACGGTTATCGGAGAAAGTTGGGTACGTTTTCTTTATCTTTCATATAATTTAATTTATTTTTCCTTCTCCTTCCTTTAATGATTCCTTCTTCTAATACATATTTAAATATGTGCTTTGCTTTTAAATAAATTTTTAGATACGAACAAGAATCAAAGACTCAATTTGTTGTGGATGCTGTATATGCATTTGCCTATGCACTAGACAATTTGCATAATGATCGGTGCAATATCCAAGGTGATCAGACAACGGAACAACGAAAGCATCAACAACATAGCGAGTCGGTGTGGTACAGACCAATTTCAAGAAATAGCAAGTCCCAAGCCTGTCCTGACATGGCTAATTACGATGGCAAGGACTTTTACAATAATTATTTACTAAACGTGTCATTTATAGGTACTATTACTTAATTTTCGATTCGATATTTCTATTAACTTAATTTTTCAAAAGATCTTGCTGGCAGCGAGGTTAAATTTGATCGTCAAGGCGATGGATTGGCTAGATATGATATTTTGAATTATCAACGCCAGGAAAACTCATCAGGATATCAATATAAGGTACAACACTTCAATATATATATATGACTAAGTTCAATAAATTAAGATATCCTTAATTTTATGTAACCAGGAATAAATTGCACTATAATAATAATAATCGTAGGGAAATATATTCCTGCGGCAGCTAAATGGTATAGTAGTCCGATCCGGCACCTTTTTTACTAATATATGTACGAATTAGAGTATATAGAAGTCTAGCTGCAAAGTTTCATTCAAAGTTTCGGGCAGATGGCCGGACAGACGGATATGGCTAGATCGTATCGGCTGTTGATGTTAATCAGGAATATACATACTGCATACTGTCGGAAATGTCTCCTTTACGTTGCAAACCTCTGACTAAAATTATAATACCGTGCAAGGGTATCTTGTTATTTGTTTTTTTGCATCACATATGTACATACATAGATAAAAACAAATTAGAGGAACAGTTAGTCAATCCATTGCTTATACATATGTATATGCTTATTGATTTATGGTTAAATGCAGTTGTGTTAAGTTGGATTTAGGCATTTATTAAGAAACTTCATTATTTTTAAATACCATTATTTAACACATAAATCTAAACAAAAAATAAAAATACTGACTTTTTCCATGTCACAGCTCATTTTCGTTCTTTAGGTACACTAAATTTGTAATTTGTTCTTCTTAAATAACTTATTTTTGCAATCCGTTAGAGAAGATATCAGCTCAAATATGTCTCATATAAAAAATATATAAAAATGAATTATATATGAGAATCTTTCAAATATAACGCCCCCTTGTAAAAGTTAATCTAATTTAATTAATACAATAAAAATTTTAAAATAAATCTTCCTTTAAATTGAAGAGTATTATAATTTCTGTCAGCAGCTACGGAGTCCTTTCCGACCACACAAAGTATATTTATTCTTGATCAGCATCAATAGCCGAGTCGATCTAGCCATGTCAGTCCGTCCGTTTTTACGCAAACTTATCTCTCAGTTTTGAACCTACCAGAATGAAACTTTGCAATTAGTTTCTATATACTCTCACTCGTATGTATGTCGGAACGGGCCGGATCGGATGACTATATCTTATATCTGCCATAGGAACGATCGGAAAAATGTAAAAAAATGTATAATAATATAATAGTAATACTAATAATAATATACAAATAATTATTAGATATAGAGGAAAATGCAAAACTGTGAATGTAAAATAGTAAATATAATATGTATATGTAGGTGAATGATATGAAAGCCGGTATTACTTCATTGATTTTTAACATAAATTTTGTATAATTTAAATTGTATTATTACATAGTGATCAAATTTATATCTGTAAAAGTATGCAAACTTCGAAGTTTGTATATATGTATGTATATATACATTAGCTATATATATATACATTATAGTTTTAAAGCCCCCATAGTTTTAAAGCAGTACTATTCATCAGTAATTCATCAACAATCAAGGCGGTGGTGTTGATGAATCATCGATGAATGTCCATACAAATTACTGATAAATTTAACATCGGCATGATCTAGACTGTTATAAACAACAATTCAACAAGAATTAATCAATGTATCATCAGCAATTAATCGATGATTCATCAAAAATTACTCAACAGTTAATTAATGATTTCTCAACAATTCTTCAACATATAAAGCCGAAAACAAGCTCAAATCGCAGCTGTGCAGGACCTGGCTCCTGTTTAATTGCAAAAAACTCATTGACCCTCCTGGGGAAGGTCAGATATTAATATAAATAGACAATTTTTTGGATTCTTTGAAAAAAGAAAGTGACTAAACCGGATCCAACAAATAAAATGGGCTTAATTAAAGTTCTACAGGAGAAATGGGAGAAAATTCTAAAATATTACGATTTGAACGGGCTAATAATGCCAATGTCGCGACGCCTCCATGCTGTAATAGATGCAAAGGGACTCCACACAAAATATTAACGCCGAAGCTATTAGAGTTTATAGTTTTTAAGTCTTCCTTGTTAAACCATAACGTCTTTGCAAATTGCAAATAATTAATTGACAGCATACGAATTGCAATCTTTTTGTTTTTGTTATTTTTACTATGTTTTATGTTAAAATATTTAAGATTTGTATTTTATATTTATAGATTAAAGTTATCCTAATAATATTATAAAAGAAAATTTAAAAAATTTTTTTTTTTTTTGTTAATAAATTTTCAGTTTAAACCCAAATTTGTGAGGGATTTTTCGTTTTGCAAAGAAGTACTTGACAAACTGTAATTCGCTGTTAAATGTATAATTTGGTTCTCAATTTTACATTCATTTTTCCTAAAAAAAAATACTTCATTCTACTGTTTTCCATTTAATTTCACGATTACCTTACCTCTATGTTCCACTGTTTTCCATAAAATTCCACTATTTTTCATATGAATTTACTGCTGTACCAAAAAGTCTTAAAAACATTTCTTTCACGTTTTCCGTGTAAAATACATATATTACATATATTAACAAGAAAGGAAGCTAACTTCGGCCCGCCGAAGTTTATATACCCTTGCAGATAGAACTTCTATGAATAGGAATCCATACAATATAAATTATATATATTTGTGTTAAAAAACAATGAAGTAATACCTGCTTTCATTTCATTCACCTATACATATTATATTTGCAGTTTTACATTCACTGATTTGCATTTTTCCTCTACATCAAACGATCGTTTGTATGGCACTGTTCGGAGCAGACCGCTAGCGCCTAATTGTGCGTGCATGGGTGTATGGCTGCACCTGCTGCGCTCTTAGCTTTCTCTTTTCTTATCTATTTCTCTCTCTCTTCTTCTTCTGTCGCCTTATCTTAAGCTAAGCTATGTACATTGTAAGCGTTTTGATATATATGTATATTGAAACTAAGCATTCGATCGGTAGTTGCAGCTCCGACCAGAGAAGTGAAAACGAAAATATACACAGCATATAATAACCTATTCGTGCGTTATAATTATTGCTTAAGGGTGGCAAATTCGTTGTCTTCCCCATAAACAGGCACCTATATGATATAGTCGTCCGATTTTCATGAAATTTGACACAAAATTTAAGACTAATATAAGATGGCTATACCTCAAATTTGATGAAAATCAGTTGAAAACCGAAAAAGTTATAATTTTTAATTGTATTAATTTCTCGATCGTTCCTATGGGAGCTATATGATATAGTAGTCCGATTTTCATAAAATTTAATGCAAAACTGTAGAGTATAGTAAAATGGCTATATCTCAAATTTGATCCAATTCTATTGAAAACTGAAAAAGTTAAAATTTTTTTTGTAAAAATTTTCCGATCATTCCTATGGCAGCTATATGATATGGTTGTCCGATCCGGCCCGTTCCGACATACATATATACGAGTGAGAGTATATAGAAGGCTAACTACAAAGTTTCATTCAGATAGCTTCAAAACTGAGAGACTAGTTTGCGTAGAAACGGACAGACGGACAGACGGGCAGACGGACAGAAGGACAGACGGACAGACGGACATGGCTAGATCGACTCGGCTGTTGATCCAGATCACGAATATATATACTTTATATGGTCGGAGGTGCCTCCTTCACTGCGTTGCAAACTTCTGACTAAAATTATAATACCCTGCAAGGGTATAAAAAAACCACCCCTTTATATTTTTGAGCAAGGGCGAGTGCAAGAGAATCTACATGCTGATTTTGACTTATTTTTTCATCAACGTTTCAGCAACCGGGAGCAAGTGAGAGTGAGAGAATCGGGCTTGGCACGATTGTCGCCTAAGAGCGTTCTCTCGGTAGAAGTCGCAGTCGTCACGTTGATGAACTGTAGATGACCGTGGTCTGTAGATGTCATGTGGTACAGCAGATACAGTTTGATATTTGCTGTTTTGCATTTTCCTCAACATTTAAGGATCTTTTCTATGGCAGCTATATGATACAGTTGTATTATTTTCATAAGATTTAAACTAAGACTTTAGAAAAATACAAAATATCTACTTATCAATTATTAATTTTTTCTACAAAATTTCCGATTGTTCCTATGGCAGCTATAAGATATGGTCGTCCGATGCGGATCGTTACGCCTTATGTAGAAAGTTTTATTCAGATAGCTTCAAATCTAAGGGAATAGCTTGCGTTATAAGGGACAGACGGATATGATTAACAAGAAAGGAAGCTACCTTCGCCACGCCGAAGCTTATATACCATTGCAGATAGAACTTAGATGACTAGGAATTAATATAGTATATATTATATTATATTATATTATATTATATTATATATAAGTATGTTAAAAAACAATCAAGTAATTCCTGCTTTTATTTGGTTAACATATACATATTAGATTTTCAGTTTTACATTCAGAGTTTTGCATTTTCCTATATATCTAACGATCGTTTCTATGGCAGTTATATGATATAGTGTTCAATTTTCATACAATTTTACACAAAATTGTAGAATAATAAAAAATGGCTATATCTCAAATTTGATTAAGATCTGTTGATTACTAAATAAGTTTTAATTTTTAATTGTATTAATTTCTCGATCATTCCTATGGCAGCTATATTATAGTAATCTGTAGTAAAATTAAAAAAAAAAAATGTAAAATAATATAAAATGACTTTAACTTAAATTCTATAAAAATCTGTTGAAAACAGAAAAATTTATTTTTTTTTTGTAAAAAATTTTCGGGTGTTCCTATATAATTTATATGGTCGGAGATGACTAATTCACTGCGTCGTAAACTTGAAAACTTGAAACTGACTGAGATTAAAATACCCTGCAAGGGAATAAAAAGGCTACATCTCTAAGTAGATGAAAATGTTATTGAAAACATCAAAGTTCTATTTTTTTTACAATAATTTCTCGATCGTTCCCATAGCAGCTATATGACACACATATGTAGTTGTCCGATTTCCATAAAATTAAAATTGATTTCTAAAATAATACAAAATGGCTATATATATAAATAGATGAAAATATGTTGAAAACTGAACAACAAACATTTTTTCTAAATATGTTTCGTTCATTCCTATGGCGTCTCTATGGTATAGTTGTTAGATTTTTATTAAAATAATCATACCCGTTTAGCAAAACTATCATTAGAAATCCATTTGGTCAGTGATCATGTTCTGCTGAACGCAATGCATTCGAATTCTCGCGTTTTTTGGCAAATTTTTATAGTATCTAGTAATAAGTTTTAAAGTAAAGCAAGTTTTAAAATAAACAGGCTTTGCCGCGTTACATATAAATATATATATATATATATATATATATATATAAGAATATGCTGACAAGTTATATATATCTATATATATAAACGAAAGTTGAATCTGTTACACTCAAGAACGGCAGAACAGATTTAGGTGAAAATTGGTAGGGAGGTAGCTTAGAGCCAGCAGATGGGCATAGGATACTTTTTATCCCGTTCGACAGAAAAGCGGGATATCCATCGCTGAAATATAGTATTTCCTACAAACCAATATATGAAGTAGTCGTTCCTAACATTTCAATTTGAAACAATAAAATAAATAAAGTGTAGGTTTGTCTTTAAGGTGGTAAGTTAAAATGTGTTAATTATGTGGATCGTACATTTAAGGTTATAGTCCAAAGGACGACGTGCGAAAGAACATCATCATCAACAAGTGTATTCACAGAAGTTAAGCGAAGAAAGACAAAATATAATAAGGGAAAATGCCCTATCGAGACAACGCGTGAGGACACGAAGATCATTGGCATCATACAATCGATTGGCATTCCAATATGATCCCACTAAGAACTACAGTGATGATTAAAATTGAGATATTGGACCAATGGCTACTATATGCCAATATTGAGAAACGGCTGGATTATGCTGCGCAAGTGGAAAATTTAAACTGGATCCATTACTTTTCAATTATAAAACAAAAAATAAAAAATTTCTTAATTTGTTAATCAAAAAACGAAATGTCACATAAAACGAAGCCATCTGGTGGCGAAACGTAGTTCGCCAGGTTTTCTACTATATATGTATATAACTTATGTATATATAACTTATGTATGTCAACAACTGTTTGAATCTTTTTAGGTAATTGGCAAATGGTTTAATGGATTGCAGCTAAACTCGGAGACAGTCGTATGGAATAAGGAAGTGGAACAACCAACGTCTGCCTGTTCCCTGCCATGTGAGGTTGGGATGATAAAGAAGCAACAGGTAATATTTAAATGATTACTAAAAATATAATACACTTTAATTCTTATTTAGGGGGACACATGCTGCTGGATTTGTGACAGCTGCGAGTCATATGAATATGTTTTTGACGAATTCACGTGCAAGGACTGCGGCCCCGGACTTTGGCCCTATGCTGACAAGTTATCTTGCTTTTCCCTTGATATTCAATATATGCGCTGGAACTCGCTTTTTGCTATAATTCCCATGGCCATTGCTATTTTTGGCATTTCCGTGACAATGTTAGTTATAGTTTTATTTGCGAAAAACCACGATACTCCACTGGTCAGAGCATCGGGCAGAGAGCTAAGCTATACTCTTCTATTTGGCATACTGGTCTGTTACTGCAACACTTTTGCGCTAATAGCAAAACCCACAATTGCCTCCTGTGTACTTCAGAGATTTGGCATTGGCGTTGGGTTCTCTATTATATACAGTGCCCTACTCACGAAAACCAATCGGATTTCACGAATATTTCATTCGGCCTCTAAATCAGCACAACGTCTTAAATATATAAGTCCGCAGTCGCAGGTTATAATAACAGCATCACTAATCGGTAAGATATGTAAATTCATATGCACATATGTCTGTGGTGGCGTAGGATTGATTTCTAAACAAAAACGTTTCTTTGCGATATTTTTGCTACATTAATTTTTATACCCCTGGAGGGTATTTTAATTGAAGTCAATAGTTTTCAATGCAGAAAAGGAGTCATTTCTGACTCTATAAAGTAAAAATATAGTTAGATCCGTATATCTGTCTGTCCGTTTATACGCAAACAAGTCCATTCCATTAGTTTTTAAGCTATCTGAATGTGACTTTTTAGTTGGTCTGTTCGTTTTCCTTTTCATTTGATCAAATTTAATTTTTTCTTAATGATCCAATTGTAAACTATAATATATATAATATAAATTTATAGAGATAGCGACTCGGTTCGAAACTTAAGCAAAAAATTAATTGCTATTGAGTAAAGGTAAAAGGCGATATCATGGAAAAAAAAATGTAACCACAGCAACCTACTCCGAACTTTTTATGATTTTCCTAGATTTTTCTTTCCCACTCCCAACTATCTACTGCTTACTGCAGTACACACAGATATTCTTTTCGACTCCGCTGACATGGCTGGAATTTATCGTTAGTTTCATTCTTCGAGTGCAAAATACTGACCCTATTAAGGAATTCCACAATTTAAGTAAAGTGAAACTTTTTTTGGTCGAAGAGTAACTCTCCCTCTTTACATAAACAAGACAGAAGTCTCCGGTAGGCTGAGCCTTATCGTTCCTCTATTTTTAACCTCTGAATGTGTGGGGAAGATGAGAGAGATGAATTAATAGAACAGAGAATTCATTTTAAATAAGAAAATACAACATTAAATGTAATTTTTACTCTCCACAGCTATACAAATAATAATCACGATGATTTGGATGGTTGTAGAGCCACCTGGAACGCGATTCTATTATCCCGACCGCACAGAGGTGATACTAAAATGCAAAATACAGGACATGTCTTTCCTATTTTCGCAGCTCTACAATATGATTCTAATCACAATTTGCACGGTATACGCAATTAAAACTAGAAAAATACCAGAGAATTTTAATGAATCCAAATTTATTGGCTTTACCATGTACACGACATGTATAATATGGCTAGCTTTTGTGCCCATATACTTTGGCACTGGCAATTCTTATGAGGTATAAATTTAATTAAAATATATATAATATGTACATTTGAGACTTATAATTAATTGTCCTCCAGATACAAATCACCACATTGTGCATTTCGATAAGTCTCAGTGCTTCGGTCGCCCTAGTTTGCCTATATTCACCAAAAGTCTACATTCTCGTATTTCATCCAGACAAAAATGTACGCAAGTTGACAATGAACAGCACAGTTTACAGGCGATCAGCGGCAACCGGAACTGGAGCCGGAGGAGGAGCTCAAGGTGCACCAAATAGCTCCGGATATAGTCGGACACAGATAGGAGCAAGCTGCACAACCTTACCTGCTCAAGGTGGAGCGGTATGTGGTGCTATGACCTCTTCAAGCGTGCAACCTATTCAACAAAATAGCCCAAAACTCAATGAAAAAGTCGCAAGTCCAATTGCCGAGTTTACGAATGGCGAATACCTGGTTGAAGATGAATTAGAATGTGTAGGATCAATCTGTAGTGGCCGAGAAAATAATTAAGACATAATTATCATTATTGTCAAATTAAAAAAAAAAACAAATAACACATTTAAAAAAAAGAACGTATTCTCTTTTGTGAAAAAGGTGTGTTGCAAATGAAGTTTGGCATATCATATTTCGTTTTTATACTTAGCATTCAATTAAAGGATGCTGCGATAATAAATTAATGCTACACCGTTATTTATTTTGGCTCAGTTTGTTCCATAATACAAATAAGTCATAACTTACATTTTGATTTATTATTAAGGGTTTAAGGGCCACCCTGAAAATTTTGAAAAATCAATTTTTTTGTTTTTATATATAGTAATTTTGACGCCGATATTCTTACGGTCATTTTAGGACGTGCTTAAAAATATCTCATTATTTGTGGTTATTACAGTCATTAAAAGTGAGCGCTACAGGTATACCTTAGAGTAGTTTTTTCTTCTTTTGCGTTTTTCTCAAAACAACGTTTTATGGATCGGTGAAAATGATTTCTCAAAAACTACTTGACATTCTCTATTCAATGCTCTTCGATGCTCTAGCTAAATTTATATAGTTTTAAAACAAATTTAGTTTTCGGGTTTCGGATAAAAATAGTCCTGTCCAGCATATACACCGTACGACCGTTCGCAAAAAAAGTGCCTTGTTTGTTTGGCTATATTTTTTATTCTTTCAATAATTATTTTCTAGTTTAACATGTATTTTGATAATCAAATCAATAAAAAGTTGTATTTTAATAGCTTTGGAAAACTTAATTTTTGAAATACCCCCCAATTTTCAGGCGTTCAGGGTTGTCTAACCCCTTAAGTTTTCGTTACCCTTGCAGGGGTACCCAGAAGTTTGATGGAGACATTTTCGACCATATAAAGTATATATATTCTTGATCAGGATCAACAGTCGATCTAGCCATGTCCGTCTGTCTATCTGAATGAAACTTTGCAGTTAAACTTCTATATACTCTCACTCATATATATGTATGTCTCAACGGGCTGAATCAGACAAATATATCATTTAGCTGCCGCAAAAACGATCGGAAAAATTTTACTTTTCCAATTTTCAACAGATTTTCATATAATTTGCAATATATGTATACATTTTATGTTATTCTAGAATTTCAGTTTTGATTTAGTGAAAATCGGACGACTATGTCATATTGCTGTAATCGTTACATAGAAAGACTCAAAACTGTGAATGTTAAACTGTAACTGTAAATATGTTTTTTTAACATAAATATATGTATTTTAAATTGTATTGAATTCTAATGATCAAACTGCAACCTGCAAAGGTATAAAAACTTCGGCGTGCCGACGTTAGCTACACGCTACAATTTTAAGTACTATAAATTAGTGCGCTACTTAACTTACCTTAAACTAATTGACTTAATTAATTTTTGTTTTTAATTTGAGCTGCTACAAAATCACGAAAGAAAAGAAACACATTGTATATATTTAAAACCAAAAAACTTGTAATTTTGTTCCATTTAGACGCCAATATTTCTTTGCACTTTTTATGCGTATATGAAATAATGATACAGCTCTCCAAAGCTTTTTTAAGCTTTTTAATAACAATAATCTATTAAGTAATTAAGTAAATTCTGTTTTGTATATATGCATGTGTGCAATACGCACTAAATGAAAGGAAAAGGGTCTCTCTTATACAAGTTTTATAGGAAGAAACAATAGATCGTTTGATAAATATTATGCCGCTGATTTCAGAATCAAGTAAAAGTTCAAAAAGCAAGCCCCTAACTATTAATGCATTATTTTATAGAAATTAGTACATAAACTTAGTGATTAAATGCAAACAAATTGTTGCCTTTGATTGCAGATGGAATAATTTAAAGTATATAACTGCTCCAATTTAATTAAAAATCTAGACAGTTTCTAAGTAAAAACAAACAATTATTTAATTAGATAAATAATGATTTAAATTCAAAATAAACTATTCAACTATGAACATAACCTTGTAAAAATGACAAACAACAAAAAGTGAATACTGAATAAACCTATTTTTCAGAAATTTCAGACAGAACTTGTTTTGTTAAATCTATACTATTATATAAAGAGGTAATGTAAGTTTGTTTGTATGTATTGAATAGGCTCCGAAAGTACTTGGCAGATTTGAAAAATTCTTTCACTGTTGGAAAGCTACATCATTCCTGAGTGTTATAGGCTATATTTCATTTAAAAAAAAAATAGGCATCCTTACTAAAATTAAGATAACGTAATCCAAGGTGTTAAAAAAATATCAAAAATCTACCTTACATCTACCGCCCTCTACAGGCAGACAAAGCATTTCCTGTCAAACATTCAAAACATATTGAAATAAGGAATTGGAGATACAAATTTTATTTTTTTGTTCAGGTTCAGTAAGAAGCGAAGTCATGCCACCCAAGAAGTCGAGTTTTGGTCGTCGTACTCGCAATACAGAAGCAAACAGACGTAAGATTACGAATATGACTGACGAAGAACGGGCCTCCATCCGAGAGACTGAGCGGCTGAAAGCAATGCAGATGCACAACGAGGAATCAGCAGAAAGACGAGCAGATAGGCTTGAGAGAAAACGATTGAGAGTTAGGCAGTCGCGTTCTGCAGCAATCGATTTGATTCACTCTCAAAATAATGAACGCGACAGGGCAAGGGTAGCTGAAGCGCGTTTACAGCTTGCAGCAGATCAAAACCTGCAATACAATCGTCTTGCATTCAGATATAATCCAACTGTTGATTACAGCTCGAATCGCAATGTCGTTATTGGCCGGATGCATCAGGTCTGCATATACTGTCAGGCTCCTTCGATTGAATCAGACGAAACTTCGGTCCGAGGAATATATCCATTTGCGGGATGCTGTGATGAATGACCGTAATACAACCAACGTTGGAAAGCTCACGATTTTGCCATCCTTATACATAGGTAGTCCACGCCACATGCATGAATATGCTCAAGATGCCATGGCATATGTTCGTTGCTACGGCCGTCCAGACTTATTTATCACCTTCACATGCAATCCAGCTTGGGACGAGATAGTACAGCTGTTATTTCCTAGACAATCACATAGGGATAGGCATAACATCACAGCCTGTGTTTTCAGACAAAAGCTCAAGTCACTGATGGATTTAATTGTGAAACATGGAGTTTTTGGATCTGTGCGGTGCTGGATGTATTCAGTAGAATGGCAGAAGAGAGGATTGCCGCATGCGCACATACTGATTTGGCTGTATGATAAAATTACTCGAGACGAAATCGACGATGTTATATGCGCTGAGATTCCATGGGCCGAGGTTGATACGGATTTGCATGAAGTTGTCATCAAGAACATGATCCATGGCCCATGTGGTACCCTCAACCCATGTTCACCATGCATGGTAGACGGGAAGTGTTTCAAGGGATATCCTCGAGCATTTACAGCCAACACCGTAACAGGGGACGATGGATATCCTCTGTATAGGAGACGGTCAACTGAAGATGGAGGGACTTCGGCAACTTTAAACATGAGAATTGGTGATATTGAGGTAGACAATCGTTGGGTGGTTCCATACTCAACACTATTGTCAAAATCATACAAAGCGCACATCAACGTAGAATATTGAAATTCCGTGAAATCGATTAAATATATCTGCAAGTACGTGAATAAAGGCAGCGATATGGCAGCTTTTGGTGTTCAGGCAGTAAATGGTGACAACAATGCAGTACGAGTTCTCGATGAAATATCTCAATACCAGGCTGGAAGATACATAAGCAGCAACGAGGCTGCATGGAGAATTTTTTCATTCCACATTCATGAACGCTATCCAGCTTTAGTTCACTTGGCAGTCCATTAGGAGAATGGTCAACGTGTCTATTTCACAGAAAGAAATGTGCAAGAAAGAGTCCTGAATCCGCCAGCGACAACTCTGACTGCCTTCTTCACCTTATGCCAGGAAGATGATTTTGCCAGAACCTTGATGTATTCAGAAGTGCCCTCTTAACTACAATATGCCCAGCAGGTGGTCAACTAGCTCATATACCGAGGATACCGATGATCCAAAATGATATGACAGTCCCATTTAAACGGCTTCAATTTCCGGTAAAAACATCTTTCGCATTAACAATTAACAAGTCACAAGGCAAAACCTTCGAATTAGTAGGGATCGATCTGCGAAATAAATGTTTTACTCATGGTCAACTGTATGTTGGTCTATCGCGAGTCGGAGCCAATGAAAATCAATTTATTTTGCTGCCACAAAATAAAACATCAAATATTGTTTACAGAGAAGCTCTAACAAAATAAATGTATTTTCTTTTAGGGTTATGACCTCAATAATTGAAAAAAAAAAAAATAATAAAGGATGAATATGTGTCATATTATTATTATTATTATGAATGTGTTAAAATTGACAAATCTAAATGTAATGTTTAATGCCGTGCGAAGCCGGGACGGGCTGCTAGTATGGTATAAGTATACATGAATCATAAGTGACTATCTATAAAGTTTTTCTTAAATAAATGAATATTTATTTATTATATCATGGATAGGTAGGGAAAATGGTGAGACTTTATTTTAAAGCCTCCAATAATATCAGGGTTCCTTTTAGATCAACTCGCTCTGTTGTCTTAGTCGTGGTCAAGATCACCTTCAGTACCATCCTGAGTCACTAAGGAATTCTTGGATCGCTAACACCTTCAACTTTCCGGTCTTTTCAAGTCTGATGCTTTTTGGCGCTGTGTAGAAACGGAGCTGATGCTTCGGCGTCTCTCTCTCTCCGAAGTTTGCTTGCAGCTTTTTATTGGATTTTATTTGGAAGTCCCATTTTCATTGCGTGCGGTCGAATCGCCCAATGTTCTGTGGTGACCGCCATGAACCTGGTGAAACCTCGTTTTCTGTTGGATAACAGTTCTTTAATTCGTTTTTTGTCGAAATTCGGCCACTATTTCTTCGATCTCCTGCGTTCACTCTTCCTAAAATATTCCTTGTTTCCTTGCTTTTAGCTAGAAATGGTCGCGGATCCTTGCCTGGGCCGAGTTTAAGGAGATTGGTATCTCTATGTGTAGTCCAGTCCGCTCGGACCAATTC